TTTTTATTTTATTTTTAATGTAAGGTTTAACCTTTTCCTAACAAAAAAAAGTATTCTCCTTCTAGTAAATTAAAAGATATAGCAAATAAAAAATGAGGGTCGAAATGAAAAAAAAAACGGTGAGGTTAGTACTAACTAAGGGAAGACCATCACTTCAAAAAAGGCAAGGGAAGAATATCACATCTTTTATCCTATTAGTGTATGCCAAAAACATTATAATTATCTTAACTTGAAGAATTAACATATAAATTTACCTACTATTAAAGTGAGGTCATAAATTTGTATCTTAAAAGTTGATCTCAAAGTTGGACAAAGCTATAATGCCACGTTATATATGATCAAAGGCCAATCTCATTCATTAAATTAAAGATGCTCATGAGTAAAACATTCTCTTATGGACATTTTTTACGGATTAATTTCATAAATAATTAAAGTTTAAGGAATAATAATTAGTTCACTGTTTTTTTATGGAAGCACTCTTGGATAACACTGTTATAAATGCTTGTTAAACTATGTACCAAGCTCATGAGTGTTTTTTTATGGAAGCACTCTTGGATAACACTGTTAACACTCTTGCACGTTATATAACACTATTTTTTTTCATAAATAATTAATATTGACGTACTTATTATATTCCAAGTCAATATAGTTTGACTTAGAAAAATACTACTCCTTTAAATAATGAGTGGACTATAACAGTCGCATGGGAATCTTTCCCAATTGACGTGAAAGTATAACCAATATAAGTTGATAGATGAACAATTATATACATTTAATGATGGTTATTCCATTGACTCTTGGAAACTTTAAAGCCCAACTTAGAAAGTTTGGAACGAGGATCTCCTGTCCTCATTTAGTGTCCTAAGCCAATGAAAAATGTCATTGAGATAAAAAAGCAAAAAAATATATAAAATAATATGTTATATTATTTGGTGCAATCTTATTGGAAGAAGACATGGAGACATAGTGCATTTGGGACAGAGGATCCATATTCAAAAGTTTGAGTAGGTCTTGGAATTGCTCAGCTCATTGACTCTTGAAAAGTATGAAGTGCAACTTAGGAAGTTGAGATAACATTTTCAAGGTATATTGAAAGTATTACAACAATTAATCTCTCATTATATCTTTATGATGAAGTCTCATTCCCTTCACTATATAAAAAGAACTTGTGAGAAATAAATACACAAGCAAGTGAGAAAGAGCGACATAGAGATAAAGTGAAGGCAAATTTACAATAAGGGTGCACTTTGATTGTAAATTTACAGTTTTTAGTGCACCTTTCTTAAAAATTACCATTTTGGAGTATATTTACTAAAATTGTCTCCCATATGGGAGTTTTATTTCCTTTTTCTCTTTCCCCCTCCAAAAACTCTATGGGAGTTTTTCATTTTTATTTTTTTTACACTCTCTCCAAAAACTCCTCTCCCATGGATGTTTTTCATTTTTATCTTCTTTACACTCCCCCCCTAAATCGGCCCCTAGGGGTAGTTCCCACCAAAAACTCCTCCCATATGAGAATTTTTCATTTTTATTGGGAAGTTTTTAATATATTTTTTCTCTTTCTCCCCCTAAATCGACTCGTAGGGGTAGTTATTTATTTTTTTTTTATCCAGAGAGTTTTTGTTTTTTTAGGTTTTCAAATGAGATAGGAGTTTATGTTTGGTATAACACTATAGTTTCATCCATTTTCAAAAAAGTTCTATAAAACCAAAAGATGTATAGTTTTATACCAAACGTAAACTTCTATCTCATTTGAAAACCTAAAAAAATTAAAAAACTCTCTGTATAAAAAAATCAAAAACTCTCCCTAGGAGCCGATTTAGGGGAAAAAAAGAAAATAAATATTAAAAACTCCTAAATAAAATGAAAAACTCACGAAAAAATATTTAAAACTCCATCCGAGGAGCTGATTTAGGGGTGAGTATAGAGAAAATAAAAATGAAAAACTCCTATAGGGGAGGAGTTTTTGGAGAGAAGAAGTGTAAAAGAGAAAAAAAAAAGTAAAACTCTCATATCGGAGATGATTTTATTAAACATATACCAAAATGGTAATTTTTAAGAAAGGTGCACTAAAACTGTAAATTTACAGTCAAAGTGCACCCTTCCTATAAATTTGCTGAAAGTGAGAGAGTTTATATCCACCATAGTATGAGTTTTGTATTCCTAGTGAGATACTAGAGATAGTTTGTATTTACATCTTTTTTGGTTGAGATCGAGTGTTATTCTCTTTGTAAGAGAGAATCAAATATTGTAATCATACTTTCTATAGTAGAGATATTTTATGGACTATGTCCCATGGTTGTTTTCTTCTCACATTGAGAAGGTTTTTCCACGTTAAAAATTATTGGTTTCACTTTTCTATTTTTCTCTATTTTCTTTATTCACTTGTCGCTTCCGCAAGTGCTCATTTTGCATTACATAGATGAAGGAAATTGGTTCTGAATTTCCCAACGATTATTATATCATGTAATCTAACTCGTTCATTTAATTTCCACTTTTTGTAGGCTTTACACACGATGTATAATTAATTTATGCTAATCTTTATTTGTGTAGCTTTATTTGTGTATAATTAATTTGGAAAATGTTTAGCTACAAAGTATGAAATTAAACTTTCTCATTATATTAATTATTATCATTATTAATGGAGGTGTCATTAGTCAATTCCAACTTCAACCACTAAGATGAGTATAAGAATGTCAATTATGCTTCATTGAGAACACTTTATAATAAAACATGTCCATTATCATGTTTTTCTTTAAGCTGACACTTTTTGAATAAGTTTATGGAACTCCTGTCTCTGATTTAGTTATTTAAAAAATGTGTTATTTTTTGTGATTGATTGAAAAATATTTAAATTAAGGGTATAATAATTAAGTATTTTTAAATTTAATATCAAGAAATAACATATGAAATGATATACTTTTCTTAGTTATTTGTTAGTGTCAATTAATAATTATTTGAGTATTTTATGTATGTACTCATTAGCTTAGCACCAATCTTTGGCAAAGATGAAACAAATTGGAGTGGAGGGAGAGAGGCACATAGTACACCCATACTATGTTCCATAAGTTTATTATCTGAGTCAAATGTGACAACTTGCATTTACCTTTTTATATAATGAAATTAAATGTATGTGTTATTCCCTTTCTTCTCATTCATCTGTCATATAATAAAAGTAGTTTATATATATATATTTAATAATCACTATATTAATAATAATTGTTTACTAAATAAAAATTAATATAAATAAGTGGTGAATAATATAATGTTTGTGTAAAAATAATAATGAAAATGAACAAATAAAAATAATGATTATGTTGTATTGCATTAAATTTATTTCCTTTTTCCCAATTTGTCATTTGTCTTTTAAATTATTATTTTCTTTTCAATTATGCAAATAAAAAAATATTTAACAAGGTAAACTTCAAAAAAAATCATTAATAATCGGTTGAAATAAAAAAAACAGAAATAAAGGAAGGAGTATATGGTATAAGTAGTTGTCAACCTATTAGGTAGGGGTGAGTAAGATCCAATATTATTTACTCATTAATCGGTTTGATCTGATCATAATTAAATTCGAGTATTGTCGGGTTTCATTACATATAGGGTCAGGTTCGGATTCAAAAGTTGGATCCGAATAATATTGTAAAGCTGAACAATAACAAAGTTGACCTGACTCGACTCGTCTCATGATCACTTATTATTCATATTTGAATGTGCCTTGTGAAAGCTCAATTTTCTCTGACATTTTTACAAAATAAAAAAATATAAAGAATTTCAAAACAATAAAGAAATTCATAAAGACTATTTTAGATGTTACCGAACCGATTTTTCTTTGAATCATAATCAAACATCATTTTTGGTACTATCAATAATATCCCTTCAACTTGTGAATAAGGAATTAATCTCTTTCAAGATGCATAATTATCCTTCATAACAAGTGTCGCTAGCATGAATCCCATCATTTTTGTTCTTTACTAGTGTTGAAATTGGCTTAGTCATTGCGAGGGACTTTTTTTGGGAAACATTCCAAATTCTGTGATATTGCAGTATCCAAATGCAAATCATGTTCCTGGAATTCTAATTCTAAAGATTGATGCACCTATTTACTTTGTCAATGCAAGCTATGGTGGAATAATTAGTGTATCTGCATTTTGTCATTTACATTTTGGAATCAGGTGTGTTTGCCATGAGACTACATGTGAAATATGTTACAGTATATGCATATTCATTTTCTCATATAAAAATGTAATAGCAATATTCCTTTTTTTTAATAAGACTAAGCAATCCCAGGAAGTCTCATAATGAGACTTGGATCAAATTGTTCTCATCCAATCACTTACAGATGATATTATCCATTAGGTAAATGTTTGTAATATACACTTATTATATTAAAATTTACTAGTATAAAAGTTCATGTTATTAGTAAAGATACCATTTTATTATTATTGAATGACATATTAATATATTCTTTATAATCAATTCAAGTTCAGAACATAAGTTCAAAAGACCATTTTATCTAATTGAGCTTAAAATGTATTTTTCTAGACGACTTTGAATAATTTGAAAGATGTCAACATCAAGTTTACATTTATCATAAAGTCGGTCTTCAAACCAAAAATTGGATCAAAATATGTCTATTCAATTGTATATATAATAATATGTATATAAAGTAGATAGTATGTTATGAAAAAACAAGGATAGTATTAAAAAAGAGAGTAGAATTTGAATCTTGTTATACGACTTCGAGTAAAACCCAAAATATTTCATGGGCCCAAGATAAAGAGCAAGTTCTGTCATGGACCTATAAATAAGGAAACGAAGCCCAAAAATGGGCCGAAAAACCCTAACCCTAACTAGACTTCTATTTATACACCACAACCCTAATTTCTCCCATGTCTGCGTCTCAGAATTCCAATTCACTCTTTATCTTCATCATTTTGTTATTCGTTTTCTTTTCTTCCGTTGTTTTCAATTTCTTTTTTGTAGATTTTTTATAATTGGAGGCGATGATGCTTTGAACTACCTATTTTATGAGGGAATGAAAATCATTCCCTTGTGATTACAAAATTACCAATGGATCCTTCTGAGCCTTACACTCTTTTCTATTTTGTTAATTGTGGTTGTTGTAGAGAATAGATTTGAAGTAGCCATGGATGTGATGATATCCTTTTCCGAATTATATAAATGTGGACTTATTAAAGACTACAATTATCTGATTCATGGTTCATTATCTTCTCTGCTCATTCAACATTCATTTCTTGTCTTGCTTTATTTTTAATATTCCTTTTTAAGGTTTTTGCAATATTTTTCAAATATTTCTTGGTTTTGACTTTGAGATTTTTTCTTCTACCATGTTGTACTTTCAATATTTAATTTTTGGGGTTTTATTTGTCAATATTTCGAAGCCATTATTCTGCAAAATTGAACTAAGTCATATGATTGATCGGTTTTACGGAAAATGATTTATGTTCATACAAATCTTTATTTACCATAAGAAAAATGATATTCATTTATGAATAATAGTTTTACAAGTGACAGAAAGAGATGTGTATAAGATGTCATTAGTAAAAAATTGTTACCCATTTGTTAAATAACTGACTTATAAACTCAAATCAAATCTGAAGTAAAAAAAAATGAAAACATAAGCACTTAAAATGATTAAAATATAATATAAATGAGAAAAATATATAATCAACAGTATAATAGATAATATATTATCATTGAATCATTAGTACTTCAAGGAGATATCTCTTTCATTTCATATTTTTTGACCATTGCTATTTCATAAATAATCTGAGCAAATAACGATATGCGTAATACTAATAAAAACTTAGAATGGACCATGCTACAAATCTGTCGTCAAAACGGTTTCAACAATTTTATTATTCAGTGTTGTTACAGGGTTAAAGGGAACCCAGCACTGTTTTAGTAAAGTATGAACTATCTATAATTATAACATACAAAATACATTCTTAAGCTTTTATCAATGTCTCCTTTTCCTTCCACCTCCATTGAGTTCTCCAGAAACATAATTATCTATTGAGCGGTAGCGATGCAATATTGATGCATCAAGTTGTAAAAATTATGTCCCAATTTCATGGTTTTTCTTAAGTTTGGTTAATCTGTGGGAATGGTTGGCCCAGACGTAGTTGAATGGCAACATGACTAACATATGAGACAGCTTTCAAAACCTCTTTTTCAGCTTGCTGTGCCATTTCTTTTGCATTTCTGTGGATAAATAACATAAGCTGCCATGAGAAACTGGCTCAACAAATAATCAGACTCAATAAGTTTGGACAATATAACTACCGAATTTGGATGTCAGGGGGCATGGAAACCTCAATTTGAAGAACAATCTTGCCCTGAAACACGTGGCGTGTTATGCGCTCAACTGATATCTGAAAACCAACTATAGATGTTTAAGGAATTAAAACACAAGTGATTCCAACATAACTTCAAAATTAATATGGCAGAATCCTCTTGCTTTTAGCCACCTTTAATTAATATTGAAGCAAAGATAAACCTAGATACCATATTTAAAGGTGGGTATTTCATTCACTTCTAACCAATAAAACCAAAGAATCTCCATTTGATGAAAGTTTAAAAACTATAGCCTTATAGATTTAATTCAAATTGAGCATGTCATGTTCCACTGGTACCTACCATGTACATTAACAGATGTTACCTGCTGAAAGTTTGATGAGATGATTTCAGAGACAATCCCTTCAATGTTACTATCCCCTGCATGGACAACACTGTCCCCGTCCATGTTTCTACTCCAACTATCTTGTTGATCTGTTGTGCAGGAAGATCCATGTGGCATGGCAGGATCTATAAGAGAAATAAGAATAGCAAAATGTCAGTTAAAAGATCACTGTTTGGAACATAAAGGCAGAAGGAATATAAAATTGGGCACATCCATGCAAATTGGTAGTCTGTGAAACACGGTAGGCACAGAAACAGACCTAATGGAAAAAGATTTAGCTCTGCCTTTTGCACATAACAAGCTTAGCATTTTCTCTACATGAGTAATGGTTCAACAGTAATAAGATAAATGTGATTAGTAGGGACAAAAATAAACTACAGAAGACTAGGCTATATAATAAAGCACATAAATTGCCAGTAATGTCCATCCTACATCAGCTTGTAAAACAGCTGTGATGTCAAACAAATAAGATTTGGTCTTGGTCAGTGTAACTGTGTAAGAAATTTATAGAACTATGGAACTGACCTATGTGTATAAAAACCTCAGCCACATTTTGGTGGGACTTGTGAATATGACGACGAACATTTTCACCAATGTCATGTGCAGCACTAACACTAGAAAAAGGATCAACCTGCAAGGTAAAACTAAACAAATAAGTCCAAGATGCTGACACATAATGCAATCAAATCATGAATTCATGACATATAATGCATGTGACATGACAAATATCAAATTCAGGGGAACCAACCTCAATATGTACATCAAGATACAAAGATGAGCCAGCTCTCCTTCCTCGTAAGCGATGACAACCCTGTATACGAATTAAAATAAATAAAAAATGAACTGGAAAGAATATAATTTAAGATCTTATTTTCATATGCAAAACAGCATTAATGAACACCTGGTTAAAGTGCATGCAAAAAATTGAAGCACAATTAGATACATTTGTTCAATTAAAATGATTGCACTAAAAAAGAAATCATATGCAGCATTCAAGGATGCAAAAATATACTACAAAAATAAATTGCAAAAAACGTACTTCGACACCATCAGCTTGTAATATTGTTTGTTTAATAGGATCCAAATGTTGTGCCGGGATTGCAGCATCCACCAATTCCATGATACTGATGATTGATCAAAATTAACAAGCTAATTAGAGCTGGAAGTTTGAGCATAGTCAAAGTCACCAATAGATATGTTGGAGGGTTTTTCCAATCCCCAGGGTTCAGGCATAATCAAGTTAAACACGATGAGTTATATGTTTAAGTCACTTTAAATTATTTGCATTCTCTATTAACATGATAATTTGTTAAGGTGCAACTTTCATTAAGAATCATTAAATAATTACATCAGGCGTCATATTTAATTGGGTGCATTGGCATGTAGCAAAGAAGTGACCTGTCAATTTACCTATGTCACGGGTTCATTATTAAGAGGTCAGGCCAAAATGAAAAGGGTGTTTCTCAAACAAGATGTTTTGCACATGTCAAGACCCTCTAAGTTAAAGGAATCAGAAGTACACTTGTCACATCTAGATATCATTAGTCAATGTACTGATAGCCATAAAAATGATACCTGAGGTAACCACTTTCAGCTCCAGCTTTTAAAATCATGCCCGAGACAAGAAGTCCTGCAAGGGGATCTAGAAACTTCACTCCAAGAATAGACCCTCCTAACATGGAGATGAAAAACTGTAGTTAGTGAGTGTGAACAATACAAGACATAGATGACTCAAGTATTCAGAAACAAATCCTGTTCAATGCAAAGAGTATATTATCAAAGACCTGAAAAACAAAAAGTAAAAAAGAGAAAAAAATAATTTTTTGTCCTAGTCCCTCCATCCATTTCAGACTAACACTTGACATTAAAAAGAAATTTTGAAGTTTGCATTTCAATATTCAAATACTAGCCTTCAATATGAAAATATTGTGATGTCACATCAGCATACCTGCTACAGGTCAGCATTTTCTGTTAATGATGCTAGGCATGAAATGGATGGCGGAACCAAGTTATTGGGGATTTGAAGTTTGAGTGATCAAATTTATAAAACTAATCCTTAAGAACTAAATTTATAATGGATAAAGACACTAAAAATGAGCTTTGCTTCCAAAACCTCACCAACTGGGAGACTCATGCATTGGGCCGCCCTATACTCTGTTTCAATAAATTCTAGGTGGTTTAAAAAAAAGTACTGCATCTTGGCGATCCCTTCAGCCAAATCAAGTGAGTTGCCTGGATAAGAAAATTTGAGCGCAGACCTCAGAGGCACTAGAAGACCCATTCTTTTAATTATGTCAATTTTGGTAATAGTAATATTAATAGCCATTCTTTCAGAAAACCCGTCGTTACTGTTAATCAAAACAAGCAATATGCCATTGGTGTTCAATGATAATATAAACATAACCACATTCACTTTGAAAAAGTCCATGAAAAACTTAGAACAGTTATATTAATTAATGGTGAACATTTTAATTAAAGCACAACTGTCTTTGTAAGTAAGTAAACCTGATTAGTGATATGACTTACATCCGAGGCCAGTATATTAGCACATTATACCAAATAATTGAACCGAGTAACTTTTCAAAGAACCAAGTTCCTTACCCACTCCAATGAGAGCAATTACTGATGAAATTGCATCTGCACGATGATGCCATGCATTTGCTTTCATCAGTCCACTACCTTGCTTCTCACCAGCTCCCTTTGTTATCCAATAAAGCCTACACATTTACAAAGCATATAAAAACTGAAGTCTTGGACAAGAAACAATGTGAGATCTCCCTAATACTTAATTTAGGAATTTATTAATGGATATTGAGATCACTTCTAGCTTATTGATTTGTATCTTATACGAAAGGCAGAAAACCAATACTTCAAATAGTGATATGAGAATGTTGATATATTGCATAATAGCAGTACCCTTCTTTAGTACATATTGACACAATAGTCATATTCAAAGCAAGGATAGGATGATCCATATCAATTCCATGATGATGTCCATCATGTTGGTGGCTATGCACATGGTCATGTGCTAATGCCTGGCTAACCATTTCAGGACTAGATGAGTACAATCCCTGCACATGGATAAAAATGACTTTTAAGTATTAAAAGGATGACATAGAATCCATTTTCATATGTGGTCTAACAAAATTCTACATCATTATTGTTCATCATGGGAATAAATGAAGCAAAGGAGAGAGATTGAAGTTCAAATTCTAATACTCAACCCATACCATCAAAATATCTACAGCATGCCATGCAATGCCACCACCGGTTGCCAATAACATGCAAGAGATTCCAAGAGCCCCCAAAGTCTCAAATTTACCGTGTCCTGATATACAATGAGAGAGAAATATGAGCATAAAAGAAATATAAACCAGATAGTAGAGGGAAGTATTTCTATTTAAAATTAATAAAAATTAAATGTAAATTCAATAATCAAAAGTCACATCAACATAACGGGAAAAAATGGCCTTATATGATCATTCTTTATATGCATATCTGGGATCATATGGATTA